ATCTTGGTTGTTTCCAAGATTTGGCTATCACAAATTGTGCTGCTATAAACATAGGAACACATATATCCCAATGATAGGATGTTTTCAGATCCTCTGGAAAAATTCCCAGTAGAGGAATAGCTGGTTTAAAGGGGATTTCCAGACCAACTTTTCTAAGGAGTCTCCTCAGGCTGGCTTTCAACTCACTTTGTATCCCACGGTGGCACCGAACTAGCAGTAATCCTCCTGCCTCAGCCTCCCGAGGGCTGGGATTACAGCTGGGAAGGGCCACCATGCCCGGCTCAGATGATTAAGATCTCCTCTAAAAAAGTGATGTAGCTCAATGGTAGTTGTGCCTACTATGTGCCAGGCTCTGAGTTCAATTACCAGTGGTACAAAAACAAAACCCCAAACTTTCGGAGTAAAATCATGTGACTATTTTTCATCAGATGTACATTAGATAAAATTAGTATCCACGGTGCGCCTGAAATTCAAATGCCTTTGTCTTGTCTTTTTTGTACCTTGCAAGCGGTTACAAAGGAAATGTCACTTCACGTAAGATTTAGTTGCCAAGATTTTGAGAAGCAGCACTGATATTTTCCCCATCGTTGTCCTCACCACGCAGCTTTGTACTGCCTCAAGTTGCTCAAACTCTGGCAGGAGGAGCCTTTAACTGCTTAAAAGGCCAGGGACAGAAGCGGAGTATTGCACAAGCCCTCGCCAGCGGCGTCCGCGCTTCCAAATCTGGCCTTCGTGTCATCCCGGCGGCGCCGCTCCCCGCGCTCTCCGCCAGCCCGGCTTTCCCCGCCGAGCGCGGCCGCCCCGCCCTGCGCCCAGGCACCTCGGAGAGCGGAGCGCGCGGGCGCCGGGGAAGCCCATTGTCCCGCGGGGAAGCCGGGGCTTCCCGGGGCGCCTCCCGCGCCCGCGGCCGCCGACCCAGAGGACCGAAGGTGCGCCGGGCTCCGCGCCGTCCCCTCCCCCGCGGCCCCATTGTCTGCCTCGCCCCGCCCCGGGGGACACGTGCGCCTGCAGCTTCCCG